TTGGCTCTGGAATATGTTGACATATAAACTGTTCGTGAAAAGGAATTGCCAGCATGAGCTTCAAGCATTTTCTCAGCCAATCATTTTGATATTATAGCAATATAAGTTCAACAGGTTTCTTTTCAAATTACTAACTAAAATAAATTTATTTTATTGCATTATTGCTAGAATACAGTTATATTGTTTTGTACCATGTACTTGCTGTTGGATTCTACGTTTTTCGTACATCTGTACACGTTAGTGTTTGTATTTACTGTGAATCACATGTCCATCTTCTTGAGGACCTAACGCCTAAACTGACCCAGCTATACATAACACTGGTATATCTCATCACATAATACCTAAAATGTAAACATGCCTTGTATTAAACGAAGAGCTCTGGTCCTCTAGACTTGGTACCGTTAAGCTGAATCGGGGACCGCCTCCGTGGTGTAGTGGTTAGAGCGTCCGCCCAGAGAGCGGAAGGTCGCGGGTTCGATCCCCGACCGCGTCATACCAAAAGACGTTAAAATATGGTACTTGTTGGTTCCTGCCTGGCGCTCGGCATTAATGGGTACAACAAGGACTGGTCGGCTCGGAGTCAGTATAATGTGTCTGAGTGGGGTATTCATGCTTCACTGCGGCATGGTATCTCAGTGGGCTAGCACTATAAAACCAGCTTAAGTCTGGGCTAGTACAAGTATCCGCACATACACATACACATACATGCGCATGCACGTCGTCATATGAGCGAAATATTCTCAAGCACGACGTTATACCCAATTTCACCTCACGTCGACTGAATCGGGATTTCAAATTCAGTTATGCGCCTTCAAGCAAGTTTATCTCTAAGTTAACGCCGCCGTGTTAATGTATAGGTTAATCCCACGTTGAACTGTTACTTCTTTAATTCTGAGGTATGTCATTAGACAGTTTCCTAACATTTAAAGGGCTTCCAATCAAACAGTTTTATCGCAAGTGTACTCTAGCCAATTTAAGACGAACTCTCTGGCGACAACTAGGATGCTCTACGGTGTGGCGTCGGTGATGTATTATTGTCTGGCTGCTATCGATTAAGAACTATCGATCCTTTACCAATAAAATGTATTTTCATATCCTATTGTGATTCTCCTATAAATCTAGGGTATTTTTCTTATTAATATCCTACCCGTGAAGGTCCGGGTTAGAATATTGATCTTCAGCAACCCAGTTGCAAGAGGCGACTAAAGGGATCGGGTGGTCAGGCTCGCTGACTTGGTTGACAAATGTCATCGGTTCCCAGTTGCGCAGATCGATGCTCATGCTGTTGATCACTGAATTGTCTGGTCCAGACTCGAATATTTACAGACCGCCGCCATATACTAGTAGCTGGAATATTGCTGAGTGCGGCGAACTCTTATTAGTATCCTTGTTCACTCGTACCACTGACTGACTGACTGAGTATGGTTTTACGCCGATTTTAGCAATATTCCAGCAATATCTCGGCGGGGGATACCAGATATGGGCTTCACAAATTGTACCCATGTGGGGAATCGAACCCGGGCCGTCGGCGTGAGGAGCGAACGCTCTAACCACTAGGCTACCCCTCCGCCCCTCACTCGTACCAACTGTGTATTCAAAAATCCTTGTAGATATTCTTTATGGACACAGTTTCTCGTAATTCTGGTTTTGTAAATTTTATAATTCCTGTCACTGTATAATTTACTGTAATATATATAACACACACGTTGATAATAAAATAAAGTCTGTCTGTCAGTCTCGCCGTTCTTCCTAAGGTCGTGGATTGCCGTGAGTTTACGTGAATCACATGGGGCAGAGGCCTTCAAGGTATGTTGTACCGTTACTGTGCAGGTGTTATAACAGTAAACACACCTCCAGGTGTCTATGTAAGATACTCAAGGAGATATTGTATATTCATATACCACTGTGCCTCCTGAGAAATCCTAGTCATCTAAAGGTAATACGCTGACCTCTCTGTCATCTCCCATTACATCAAGACCAACAGTTGGATGAAGATCGCATTTACCCCGGATTCTCATCCTGGGCCTGTTTTGAAAGCGTGGCCACTCTTGCAGCCGGATGAATATAGTCATCAATGGTTTTTTATTGCTATAATCACTGTGTTTTCTATTTTATTGTCATTGCATTCGGTAGTACCACTGCAATTCGTCTGCAGCAATTTGTATTGCATTTATAAGCGTAGATAAGTTTCGACAGTTGTTAAATGCATAACATGTATTGTGTTTTCTGTAGACATTACACCGCATTCTTTAACGGACAGATTTCTGATGCACGTATTGTTTTGCGCCGCTTTTAGCAATATTCCAGCAATATTCCAGCAACATCAGGGTTTGCAACACCAGAAATGGGCTTCACACATTGTACCCATGTGGGGAATCGAACCCGGGTCTTCAGCGTGACAAGCGGAACGCCTTAACCACTAGGCTACCCCGCCGCCCCTCTTCAACTTGGAATTCGACACGTTACACAGGACACTAATGACACTCGGTGATTCCATGATACTAACGACACTGGGTGACTCCATGACACTATGCACTCTCCGTGAGTCGAGACGTGGTAATTCCAAGCTTTTCATTTATTATTGATTTCACAGTTAGAATCAGAGTTTTGATATTGTGATTAAACACCGGACCAGGCAGAACTTGTGTCGCAGGACCTCAGAACAGAGCAGGTTCGACATCTACCGAGAGATTCTCTGAATATTTTACAAGCGCTTCCAGTTAATGTTTCAAGATTTTACGGACGAGAAATATGCGGCCGTTGTAAGCCATCCTCGACATCAAGCACGTTTAAAAAAAAGCATCATCTCAAACGTTTGCTTCTATTCAGATGCTATATATGATGTTGTTGATTTAATAGCTCACTGAGTTAAATATATAGAAGTGCAGCCTGTTAACTAATCTTACAGTATATGCTTCTACTTGTGTCCGGAGTGTTTGAGGTAGCTGGAGCATATATATCGCAGTGAATGTGTGTGTACCCAGTGGAGTGAAATTATAACGTCAGTGTTAATCTCGTAGTGCGTCACAGGCAGCTTTGGGTGTATGATCCCAAGGAAGCTGAGAATGGAAACCAAGTGCACACCGATCGGGTAATACTGACATTATCAATAGTAGTAGTAGTAGTAGTAGTAGTAGTAGTAGTAGTAGTAGTAGTAGTAGTAGTAGTAGTAGTAGTAGTTGTTGTTGTTGTTGTTGTTGTTGTTGTTGTTGTTGTTGTTGTTCTAATAGTAGACTTAGTTGTTTTCACCAAGTACACACCGATCCATGGACCGGGGTAATATTGGTACATGTATCATCATCAATAGTGGCAGCAGCAGCAGTAGTAGTAGTAGTGGTAGTAGTAGTAGTGTTGTTGTAATAGTAGCACCGAAAAATTCTTCATTATCATCTACAGTATTCCAAAATTCCGTCTCCTGGAGATATTGATATGAATATATCCTCCCCTATGACAGCGAGCTTAGATCCCACATGGCGTAACGACCCCTGCACCGATTGTCTCTCTGCTAACCTGACACTAACCTCAACATCGCCATGAATTACTGAATACAAATAAGGTCTTCAACAGTATCGATTAGGGGAATTTGTAATTCCTCATGTAGCCAGTGATCTTATCGAAGGTTCCCTGTTGTGAGGGTCCACACAGGCCCTCCCTGGGGTATATTCTCCAACAATCAAGTGGTAATCAATGGAATTGTGTATCCGCGATCTCCCATCACTACGTTTGATTATAAGTCACTTGAAATTTAATGATGGCGATGTTTTCTATAATGGACTATGTTATTATTAGCAATCATTATCGTAATTCCCGTGTCACTGAATTTATGTGAACGTGGGCCAATTGCTTTGTAGGCTATCCAATGTGCTGATAGGGAATGTGCACGCATCCTACAAGGTATCGTGTCGTGTTTTCGACTTTGTGAGTTAGTGAGTTTCTGAACGTCTCAAGGAACAATGTCGCAGCTGTAGACATTTGACTGTACACGTGACTATATGGTCGCGCCAGACCCACCAGGTGATGTTAATGACGATCCGCTCAATCTAAATATGATCACCAAAATTTTAAATCGTCCATTTATACTCGGATGCCCAGGGGCGGTGGGGTAGTCTAGTGGTTAAAGAGTCGTCTGGTCACGCCGAAGATCCGGGTTCGATTCCCCACATGGGTATAATGTGTTCTACCCAATTCTGGTGTCCCCTGCCGTGTTATTGTTGGAACATTGTAAACGCGGTTTATCAGCTCTTGCGACATCCTTTCATTGTGAATGCTGGGAACGCTTTTCCTCTTTTTAAAAACGGGTCCCTGTATTTGAAATGAAGGTTTACTTTCCCGTATTAACATATTTAACATGACCAATTCATTGTTAAGAATTCCGCCCCTTGGCTACATCGGGATCCGTTGGTCTTGATCAACTTGATCCACTTCATCTAACATTTATCATTCACATATTTACTGTTATCCGCGGGGAAGCCTGGTGGTTAAAGCGGTCGCCACACTGGACACAACTGTTCGATTCCCAACATGGGTACAATATAGGAAGCCTAGTTCTGGGGTTCACCTCTGTTATATAGCTGGAATAAAGTCTTGAAGACGGTCCTAAATAACACTCACTCACTCACTCACTCATTAAATGTTGACCTTCAACTGATGGTGATACTGTGGATCTGTTGGATAAAATGTCTGCTAAGGTTAGGAGTGCGTCTTGTCTTTCTGATGTATGGCAATATGCAATGGCCGCACAATTTATACTTGTTAGAGTTGAGTCAAATAACAAAACATCTCACTGTGGCGTTACACATTATACAACGGGCTTTCTGCTAATTGTTTTCCTCCTGACCCAAAACAGATCGACATTCATACTATCACCCACCAGTACATGATCGCCGAGTCACAGTCGGAGGAGGGTTGGCACAAGAATCATTGATCAGCAAACACTGGATTTGACAGCATAAATTCCCGGGACGAACCCCCCGTGTGCAGCCTCAGAAGACAGTTCCTCCTGATGGGGGCACCGACACTCACAGCACTCGGCCGGGGGATGATACAACGCTGAAAGGTACCTCCCGACAAAACTCTTCTCTCGCCCTGGGAAGTACCGGTAAGTTCATCTTTTCTCTCTCAAGCATCGTCTTGGAGTACTCTTCTGTATATACAATGGGAATATGATGATCGAACTCTTTAACTCCGAGATAGTTTGAATATATATATCGTCGGTATGTGTTCACGAGTAAGTAGAGTCCAACATCTTCCCTGGTCCTGTTTCCTGTATTTGTCAGCCCATCACTACTGTGGGTTTCATCAATATGTGAAACTGATAAATTATAACTGAAATACTGTTTCAAACCTGAGTAGACAAAACTCACTCACTCATTCACTCTAACATGGCCCGACTTTTTCCTTTCTCAAGATCTGATATCAACAATTGGGCATTTAACAATCTCCATGGAGATACCCTTTCGGTTCAGTAAAAGTTGAAGTTTTTTTATGTTGATTTAAACGGGACCTTAATCCGTGTTTATATATTCCGACAATCGAGGTGCCAAGCAATCCATAATCAATTTTGTTGGAATATTGCTGAAAGCGGCGTAAAACTAAACTCATTCACTCTTTCTGTCTGTCACTTATATTTCCTTAGCCTGTATGTGTTCTACTTGTGTCTCCGGTGTATGTATTATGTCTGTCAGATAGTTGTACATTGTCCCCTCCGTTGCTTGTGTTGTATTGTGTCTGTCAGATAGTTGTACATTGTCCCCTCCGTTGCTTGTGTTGTATTTGTCCGCAGGATTGATTGTATCTCTAATTCAGTTCTATTTCAGACCAAGGAACATGTTCAAGCATCTAGTCTGTGTGGTTGTAGCCGTCATATCCTGGCGTGACGTCACATGTGCTGCAAACAACTCAGGTGAGTACCGCATACAGGTGTGTTAGGCCCCTTCTACACAGGACGGCGACCTCTCTGCCTTCTCTCTGCGTTCTAAAAATTACCAGGACGCACAACGGTCGCCAAACCTATGATTCTGTTTAAATGCTCCGGCGTCCCTTGTGTCTTCCTTGTACGACCTAAGCTTCCAATTTTTGACATTTCAGTGGCGTTCGTTGAGCGTCCTAGGCGTTCTCTCTGCCTTCCCCCTGACTCCCCTCTGCCTTCTCTGTACCATCATATGCAAATAACGGCGTCCGTTCAGCGTTGCTTCTGCCTTCTCGCCGACCGTTGTGCCTTCCTTGTGCATTCACTGGCGTTCGCTCTGCCTTCTCTCTGCGCTATGTGGCGACTTTTCGGCAACCTGCATACTCTAGGTATATAAGTACCTGGCTACGACATTTTATCAGTAGTTTCATACGAGCAGGTTAAGTGAAATCATCGTATAACGACTTCAGTAAGCATGAACAATGAACTGCGTTTGCAAGGTCAATAAGAATTGTTTTTCAATAGCCAGATAGCCATTGCCATCTTAAATAGAAGGATAAATAGACGTAGAAGAAGAAGATTGAGAACCCTGTGGTTCCGCCCATAGTTGATGCAACACAGACGGTTTCAATTCGGGGACTACAACTAATGCGTCAAGAACTGCGTCTAGACGATGAAGGGTCATTCTACAATTATCTGAGAATGGAGCCAGCCGGCAGTACAAGACCTATTTATATGTAATCTGGAAAGGGCAGAGGGGAGGCAGAGTAAAGGAAGAGCGAACGCCGTGGTTTTTCAAAGGGTTGCTCTAGTCGCTGAATGAAGGCAGAGTGAATGCTCAACGAACGCCAATGGATGTTCGACGGACGCACAATGAAGGCAGAGAGAAGGCAGGGGCAACGCCGCAGTTTACGAAGGTTTTTTTGGCGTCTTTTCGCCGACCGTTGTGCCTTCACTCTGCGACCTCGGCGATGGCTCTGCCTTCGCTTTGCCTTCCCTCTGCGTCCTGTGATCAGTCAACCATGACGGCGACCACTCTGCGTTTGTTTTGAGCATGTTCAATACAGTCGCCACTACAGTGGTGTGCTGAGCCGTTCTTGGAGTTGGCTCTGCCTTCTTTCTGCGTTCGTCGTGACTCCTTTGAGCGTTCAGTGGCGTCGGAAAATTGTCAGAACGCAGAGGGAAGGCAGAGCGGTCGCCATCATGTGTAAAGGGGGGCTTTACCGTAGTGTAACGCTAGAACAATACATACAGGTGTTCTATGCCTTGTCAATGGTAGTCCCACTCTCCCTCACTCCTCCGGTGTAGTACAGCTTCATAACATGGTGCTCGCTCGTTGCATCTCTTGTCCGGGTTCTATCTTCAGCTTTGTCTAAACACATGATTGTCCTATAATGTTATTTATGGATTGGATGGCCGTCATTGAATAAATATGTTGGATGTTTCAAAACTGACACTTGATTCTATTCATGTGAGACAATGTTGCACCAAACTTTACCCACGAACATCTCTTAATCGCCTGGATTATGAGTTGTGTGTTTGTGTGCACCGTAGCTGTGGATGCTCACTACCTCATTCACCAACCGAACATCAAGGAACCAACTAACGCATTCTCTTGTGCCTCTCCTTTCCACACCAAACAGCTTCGTAATGGTGTTACAAGGACTTTAAACGCGACGTTAACCTCAAAACACTCGCTCAGTTTCCGACTCATCCACCCACCCATTCTTTCACTCACTCACTCACTCACTCATCCAGCCCCTCACTCATCAACTCACACACTCTTTCAGTGACGCTGGACCTGACCCACGACTGTGACAACAGACTCTACCGGGTGGACTACACCCAGAACTTCATTGTGGAGGGTAACACGTCGGCTCGATCCGCCCGCGGCGCGTGGTGGGACGCGAAAGGGGGACGGTGTGAGGTGTCATTCGAGACCACGCAAGACAAGGGCATATGTATCAATGTGTATGAGCTGGACCTGCTGCCTTATGTCACCATCGACTTTAAAACTACTACCTACCGACCGGACAAGGTAAGTTGGCTGTTAGCATTCTGATAAGACTGGTTACCACTGAATGGTACCCTTCGGTGATCGCCCTCTGTGTGTGGAGCATGTATTAGTCCAGTAGTTAACGTACGAGGGTCCGTCAGTTACTGGTTCGACTCTAAGATTCGACCCCATTGTGATTATTGGTCTGTGAGTACCAGACACGAGCTTGTGAGTCATCAAAGTTGTAGCGTTCTGTTTCACTGAGGACTTTAAACCAACCTGAAACTATATGTTGTGAAACATTTTTTTTGGTGTGTTCGTGCGTACTTGCGTGCGTGTGTGAAGCGGATTTCTAGAGCATCATGATGACTATACCTCCCTCTATTAGAGAGTTGCTAATAATAGAGATCGGTACTGGAATCACAAATACGGTACTCTCATCTTCAGTATACAGGGGCGGATACAACCCTCAGAAAGATGGGGTGCACAGCTAATTTTCTTCCGTTTCCACGAGTTTCACGGGTTATTTAATAAACTTTCAGGGAAAAAAAGTGTGTGCGTGTGTGTGTGTGTGTGTGTGTGTGTGCGCAGTATATATATGACATTTCATATCAAAGGTCTTCGTCATACGTGTACAATTGTTTTGAATTGAAAGTGTATCCGTTTATTAACTTTTTTTTATCTGTAACATCACAGAATGTGTTTTAATTGGAGATTTATAGAAAACTCTATTTCCGCATTAAAGCGGAACAATTATTTCGGATTACCCACATAGTCACATGGTTCCTAATTTGCTACAGCTATGTTTATTGGTCATTTGAAATTGCCAAAATACAAAGAGACTAGGTATCATTGGCCGAAAGTCATTTTGAATATTCTAAGTGTATATATAGAGAGGAATTTCACCTGAGAGAAAATTCAGCCTGATTATAAAGTTGGAGGCATTTACGCCAACAAAAACCTACAATACTGTTCAAAACGGTGTTGATCCAAACCTACTCACTCACTCTACATAAACCATTTATCATCTACATTGTATACTAGGCACATTAAGAAACTGTGCATACAAAAATTTAAAATCTAAATTTATCAAACATGTGTAGACACATAAGGATTTAAACTCAGGGATTAGTGACATGTATCCAACATGCATGTACGTGCCACGTTCCGAGACGTCAGTGGGTTCGTCCTTGAGACGTGCAATACGTTGTTGCACGTGCATTCCGGGAAAGAGAAACAGAGCAAATGAATGCCACACAATACTGTCACTTAGGAAAGCTCAACCCCTTCCCTTGCGATCGTTCAAAAAATTAAACGGCTATTGAAACGCATAGCATGCCAAGGCTCACGTCTGCACAACGTCATGAGGCCATTGGGACGGTCCGTGGGGGAATGTCTCAACGACAAGTGGCTGCACATTTCCATTGCCACCGGAACACCATTTCTGCACTGGTGAGACGCTACCATAACACAAATGACGTCATCGATCGGCCCCGTTCTGGACGTCCACGTGTAACAACGCCAAGACAGGACAGATGGATAAGGGTTACCCATCTGCGCCACAGGTTTCAGACTGCAGTGATGACTGCCCGAAACATCCCAGGACTTCACTGTATCCATCCCAACACAGTTCGACAACGTTTACGTCATCACGGAATCAGACCACGACGTCCCGCCATACGGCCTATCCTGACACAACGTCATCGACAAGCTTGCCGAATGTGGTGCCGAAATCATGTCCGCAGACCCTTGTTTTGGTGGAGAAATGTTGTTTTTACAGATGATTAACATTTCCCATAGTGATGGACGTCAACGTGCCTATAGACGCGTAGGAGTACGTTATGCACAGGCCTGTGTCTTGGAGAGGAATCGCTTTGGTGGTGATTCCGTGATGATTTGGGGTGGAATAACAGCACGCCAAAGAACTCCTTTGGTGATTGTTCAGGGCAACTTAACTGGTGTGGGCTACAGGGATCAGATTCTTCGACCTGTGGCAATTCCTTTTCTGCAACGTCATGGCCATGGGTCAACATTCCAACAGGACAATGCCCGCCCTCATACGGCAAGGATTGCTATGGATTTCTTGCAACACCACAAGGTTGACTTACTGCCTTGGCCTGCAAATTCACCGGATCTCTCCCCGATACAGCATGTTTGGGACGAGTGGATTGACGTCTACGCCGTCTTCCTCATCCGCCAGATAGCGTCCTTGACCTTGCAGACATACCCGTTATTGAGCTTGTGACATGGTCGTTTGACCCCTGTCCCGCTTGTGGACTCCTGACGTCATTGTGATTGACTTTTCAATTGAAATTCTCCCGACTTGTTATGGTTTCATGATCCCTCCATTAAAGTTTATATGTACCTTTGACATTGTTATCGTACTTATCAACTGGGATAATATTTTGACAATGCACAGTTTCTTTATGTGGCTAGTATAGATAATGCAACAATTGAATTGTCATAATGCTGTTACATCATTAGTTAATGGCCTCACAATGCTTTGACATCACTAAGAACACAGCTGACAATGCTATGACGTCGCAAAGTTGATGACGTCAGAATGATATGATGTCATAATGTGATGACGTCACAATGCCATGACCTCACTGAGATCACTGCTCAAGCCTAATGGCAGTTTTGTGTTCAGATAAATTCATTCTTTTACTAATACCTTTGACTGATAATAACATCTGATGAAGAATGATATCAACACTTGTTGATTAAAGGATGATAATCCTCCGCAAAATTTGTAACTTTCATCAACTCGTGTGTATATCTGATATCAAATTCTCTATATCACATGACACTCGAGTACTCATCCGACGTGAATCGCTTGTTAAATCCACCGTATATCACTCACAAGCCAAAGCTGGGCTTTAATATTATTTGTATTAAAGTTTAAACTCATTCACTCAACCAGTCACTCACTCACTCACTCAGTTAGCGACTATAGCAAATGGAACACTTGTCCTCCCAATCGCCTTGCTTCGTTTTTGTCTCGGAATAAAACATTATTCTTCCATGGCTGGTGTACAACGGAGATTTCATCTCTGCCCCAGTGTTGATGTTTCCAATAATCGATATCTCCTTAATTCTTGAGGTCGCGCAGTAATGCCTTGTAATTAGACTTGTAATATAAATGTAAATACCAGTAATCGACTCTCGGCGGAAGGTTACATTGATACGGGGAGTTGTCTCCAGCTGTATTCCCACTCACTGTATGGTAGGGTAGGGTTAAAGCATTATACTACCGCATCCTCCACTGGAAGGGAATTTGGGGCCTAGTTGTTTAGAGCGCACCCTCCCTCTGCAGAGTTGCATGTGTTCGAATCCCATATACACCCTTACCATTCTCCTTAGTCTCTCAGCACCACACCCGTACACGTGATACTCTGAAGTTATTTTACATATGAAAACACCTAAACTTCAATTACACCATGCTAAACGATATGTTTAACATTGTAACCAAGTTCTCAGCTTATCGTGTAAAATATGGAGCGGATATTAAACGTTTAAGTACAATAACTAAATATAGTATGCACTTGAAAATTGGGTTTGAAGTCGCATCGACCATGTTCCTTGTGACTTCAAATGTATGTAAATATATGTAACTTTGTATATATTTTGGCATTTGCATATGCGTGAACTTGGTCTCGTCGCTATTTGGTTGACAAGTTGATCTCGTTAAATGTTAACTCACTCACTCACTCAGTTGAGACATCACGTGCACCTCACATATGATTTGATATTGTCTGGGATACCCGTCTCAAAAACATCACCACTGGATATAAATTTATCATCAAACATGGGTGTGCACGTTCCTTTATTGATCGCACATGCATACATTATCATATTCTTTTAAGAAAATATGTGAGTTGTTGGTTTGATACGGCTTTCAGCAATATTCCAGAAAAATAACGGCTGTGGGCTTCACATAATGTACTCATGAGGGGAATCGAACCCAGGACCGGCGTTACAAGCGAACGCATTAACCATTAGGCTTCCCCTCCGCCCCTATATGAATAAAAAACAGCATATTGTAAATAGATATGTAGTTCAGCATAGACACTAGAATAGCATTACCCTTGCGCAGAAGCTTTATACGTCTTGTAAACATATTTGTATAGAATCATAAATAGTATATCCTCATCAAAACAAAGTTGAACACTGGTGAATATTTGTTGAAATACCCACTACTCAGGACATTGCTCTATAATATAGACGTATTTATACAGCGCTACAGGCGAGGAGAGTCGACGGGGGAGTGGTGTACACACAAAAACTTGCTGACGATGGAGATAACGATGAAGGGGAGGGAAAGGAAGAGAGACAGCTTTCAGTTCGGGTTGGACGTCAGGAACAAGACGCTGGACAAAATCGAGAGAGAGTGTGAGTATGGAATACACTCCCCTGCACACATTTTGCGTCACTCGGCTCTTTCCGCTTCCCACTTAATACCGCAGGTAGCAACGTTGTAGTGATATTACACGATTTCACAACAAAACGCTCAAAGTGGGCGATTCCTCCGTATGTGGTCCATGAAACCATCCAAACAAGTGATGGTCAAGTTCAGTCCTTTTCCAATATGTAATCCAATTTCTCACCGAAATATTCCATGGAATATATGAGCCGAGTTTGCCGAGGTTAGCCGATTACCTGAGCAACCCTCTGAGCAGAGTAGGTGTCCAGTAACAGTCCAGTGTGTAGAGTTTGGTTTTCCTTCCGTTATGTTAACCGATATGTCTGTCCTTATGAAAAGCCAGTCCTCGATGGGTTCAATAATACATGTTGATTGACCACAGACAACATGGGTTCCGCCACCGACTGCAACATGGGCTACACTCTTCGAGAGACGGAGACCGCCATTGTGAAATCTCACAAAGTACAGATATTTGACCAACCACCACAGGACTGTGAGATGACCTTCACTACACAATCCAAGGCAGAATATGGCCAGGTAAGTTGTAATCAATATCCAAATTAAATTTGGTTGTGGTGCTACAATGTTTCCTGTAAATAACCCACCCTGTAAATCGTTGTAACCGAGGAAGCTGCGGAGGCTGAGCGGGTTAGGCGGCTCACTTTGTGTACTGGCGTTTAGGTGCCTGACACTGAGGGTGTGAGTTCGAATCCCGGATGGGACTCAACCCAACAAAAGTACTAGAATCTGTACTTTACTAAGAAAGTGTAATCCCAAATATATCATATGTTACATTTTGACCACTTTCTCTGGCATTGTGTATTCATGAATGGTTCCTGCCATCACGTCACAGACAATTTACAGAAAGACAACAAATTATTTACGTCTTCACAGGAGTATTGCATTATTTTTGTCAAGCACCAATGTAGGAACAGAAAACTGAAGACTAAAGCTCAGGTAAAAAGAGACAGTGAACTGTTGTATTTCAGGCCACAGGGGTTCGAATCACTGTTTGGACAATAAATTTAAAAAATAATAATGTAAACTTTTGCAATCGTACATTGTTTTTATATGAAATGATTAACATATATTTCAAATTTGAACGAAATCAGCGAGGAAATGAATATTTTAGAAGATTATACCGCTAAACTCATTACATAAAATACTGTGAAATTGGGCTGAAACTGATCCAGAATTACATGCGCTTTCTCAGCAGATTATATTCGTGAAAATACACCTTTGCTTAAAATACTTACATACTTATTGCACGTGATGCTCGCCTTTGATGGTATCACGTAAAAAATATAAAATCAATGTATGGTGCACACGGAGTTTTAAATAATTCTACAAACGACCATAATTATGATATGAATGTAGGTGTCGCGATACTTCTTCCATGTGTATATTTCACGCAATAGGACACATTGTATGAGGATATTGCAGGAAATGTGAGACAGTGTATACCGTCATGTTTCCAGGTGTGTGTGACTGTGAAGAAATTCAAACCTCGCTATGGATGCCATATGGGCCTGGCACTCAGTAAGCTGGACAAGAACCACTGGCCGGCCAAGGTGGTGAGTATACCTGGAACCTTTCTAATCCTTCTCCCTGTACAATCTCGATGGTGTATGACTGACAATATGGAGATATTTGGTTCAGATATATATATATGAACGTTCATACATGCTAATGACACTGACTGTGTTTTGTTCAGATCTACGACTGCAAGACGAAGAAGGAGTCTACCAAGGAGGTGTGTTCCAGCAATAAGGTCCTCGTTATAAAGCTGGAGAGGGGGAACGAGTCTCACAGCGTGGCCAACTTTGAACTCACAGTTGCCAGCAAGCTGATGCCATGTGAGTCGTCATGTCATGTCATGTCATGTAGCTTTGAAACACGGTTGACCCGAAAGGGGCTGTCACAATATACAAGTCTCGAGAAGTTGAGGACCATCCTATTTTCTCATATCACTAAACTGGTCAATCTGGCATGACTGATTTACCTTTCGCTGTCAGCCCACCCGACATATTACATAGTACAACATATACTGTGTCCAGTGAACAATGGGGTGGTCCTCAAGGTCATTTGTAGTGAGTGAGTAAGTTTAGTTTTACGCGACACTCAACAATATTCCAGCTATATGGCGGCTCTTTTGTAATATATAACAGCATTCACATCGAACTCCTTGTCTATGAGATGTTGTTATCCAATGTTTTACTATCACGTTCCGGGTCTGTGGAATCGGTAACTGCCGGGGCTGTGTAGCAGCATTAGTAACATACCCTATCGTGTAACTGTCAGCCCACTCATGTGAATGTCAAGAAGGTTCTTTGTACTTCTTACTGTCCAATGTCTTGAAACGTGTTTGTCTGAGACCTTGAAATCCAGAACAGTCTTGTAAGCTTTTAAGAATTCAATTCAAGTCAAGGCAGAAGTCAGGTCAAAAACACCCGAATAGGAGTTGCTTTTATAAAGGTACACCATAGAGGTTGATTGTGCCCCGAAACTTCAACGTCAAGAATGTTTGTAAACAACCAGGGGCGCTAACTCTATATTCCACTCAGTCGCTCCGTCAACTGCACTGGACAGTTTACAGCGGGTCAGTTTGTAGTGGCTGCCACTGCGTGTCACTGCGAGTCACTCCACCTCCACAGACCGCTCTTCATAAGTGAACGTTAACACTTTCAGGTTTGCAAATTATACCTCGACATACTGTTCAAGTAAGGCGTTATACTCACTGTTCTGTCTGTCAGTCTGGGAGTCCATGGAGAGTCAGAAGACAGAGCTGAGTGTGATGAGGGCGGCCAAGTCCCTCACCGTCGTCATCGCCACCTTCGACACCGTCTTCGCCCTCATGGCTGCCTTCATCAGCATCGCCACCAGGTACCCCTACGGCAGACTCAAGGTGTTCGGCGACGTATTCGGGAAGGACCCCATACCTGCTCACTACGGCAACGGTGAGTTTACATTATCAAGACTCTGGAAAGTACTACTTCCAGCAAATCTAATTACCATTAGGGATCTTCATTTGGTTATTTTCTACCTTCTCGGAAGGCATTTCACTGACATAGATCGTAAAATTATCACCTTGTATATGTCTGAAAATACAGAAGCCGTCTTTGTGACATGTTTATATCGCAACTTAGTGAATAATTTTAACATCATGATTTTCAGAATATCCTGTTGCCATAGCAGTGACCACCGGCGAATCAGAGCCGCCACCATTTTGAATGACGACTCAGATTGTTCGTTGACGAAGACGTCATTCCATGTAGTGATGGGCTCAATCAGCACCGGACAGTTATAAAGTTCCACACAGCGCCATACTGTAGTATGTAGTTCTATTGTAGGACATTCTGATGGTAGGAGGACATCGAGCGAGGACTCCCATCCTGGCGAGTCACGGCTGTTGTGCGTATGTCCTCGTGTCTGCGAATACGCATAGCCGCCATATTTACGTGTACATAGTGTATCATGTTTTGTTAAGAAACTGGGAATTGTTTATATACTTACAGTGTAGATGCATGCTCGTGTAACAGAGAGTTCGGAACGTGGTTGTATGTACATTATCTGTGATAAAAATCTCATACATAATCAGTTTCTTTTCCTTCATTTTCTACCAAGGTTCTTATGTAAATAACCTGGGAGCCTATGTAAGTTTATACCCAGCATTTAGTGATAGTAATCTACATATGAGCAGGAAACGCCATTCCCCTTTTCAAACTTTAGTGGTTCAGGTATAGAGATGACAAACCATGCAACAACCTTGATCACGACCAAGGTGGGAATCGAACCGATGGTCACATGATTCTGTCGGGCCTAAGGTACTCAACAGCGACCGGCCAACTATGACACTTTTTAGACTTTAAAAGCTATTTGGGACCTGAATTAAATTATTAGAGTTTTTTTCTCACTGCAAAACACGTTGGTTTATATTTAAGTCTTTCCTCATTTGTTGTTCAACTGTCGGCAATATTTCAACTGTATGACAATTCTCTGTTAATATCCGAGCCTGAGGCAGACAATCCAGTGACAGACATCATGAACATTGATTTACACAATTAAGATACGATGACATGTATCACCCATCACGCCTGACCACCTGATCCTGCTACACCCAGGGGCGGTGGGGTAATCTAGTGGCTAAAGCGTTCTCGCATCACGGCAAAGACCCGGGTTCGATTCCCCACATGGTTACAATGTGTGAAGCCGTTTTCTGGTGTCCCCCGGAGCTATATTGCTGGAATATTGCTAAAAGCCGGGTAAAAAAATCCGTTACACCCCAATTACGACAAGCTGCTGAAGACCATTTACCCAAGGACCTCGCTGTTCTATGGCAACGATAGGAACAATACAGATTCCATGTGAAATAGTTTTTTAACGTTTCAGTTTGAAAACGTTTCGGATAACTGGAGTTGAAACTTGATGAGACTATAACCATTCCTGCGCCTTTGTAGTCATATTCACTGGGCATCAGTAATGGAAAAGGGTAAGAGCCCGACAATGCAGCTTAATCTGTATGTCATCCTGGCGAACTATTTGAAACATTAGATTAGGTGATCTAATGCAATAACATAAAATTTAATTAAAAAATAAATTCTGCACCGTTGCCCTCGATGAAAGGCAACAATATTCAAAAAGTGACCTCAAAATATCTGCAAAGATATAAGCAACGGATGCTACAGATCATGCAAGTAATGCAACTGCCTCGCCCCAAAGAGTTGTCTCCCTTGACCTGTTCTAGCACGTTATACTGGAGGCACGCTGCTAACTGCAGTCGATGTCTATTACATACCAAGTCTATATCACTGTATTGGAACCATGTCATTTTGATACCCGCCCATCCTTTACGGTAATACTATTGCTTAAAGAAACAAGTAAAGACTTTCCACAGGTTCCGAATCCATCTTCTCACAGAAGCTGCTTTCCTATTTAAATGTTATTGCTTGTTTCAGACTGTGAGTTCCTTTTCTTGTAACGTACTTACTGATACACCTTACATGCCAGCTGATGTGTCTATCTTCACGCACCTGCACGTTTAAGCACTACTATTAGTGAACTCTCGGGTTAGAACTGCCCTTCAGTAATCCATGCGTGTCATACGAGACCACTAACGATTGCTGTCGTGGTTGACGTATGCCATCGTATCCCAATTGATTCTCAGGATATCAATCAATGGATTGTCTTGCCCACACTCGATTATTTACAGACGACCGCGCAGCTTGGCCAGGGCGAGTGTCTGATGATGAAACACTCACTCAATGTCTTCTTATCATGCATCAGCGGATTCATTCCCCACACCGACATCAGCTGATACACCGACCTGATACTGATACACCGACATCAGCTGACACACCGACATCAGCTGATACACCGACATCAGCTGACCGACACACCGACATCAGCTGACACACCGACATCAGCTGATACACCGACATCAGCTGACACACCGACATCAGCTGATACACCGACATCAGCTGACACACCGACATCAGCTGATACACCGACATCAGCTGACACACCGACATCAGCTGACACACCGACATCAGCTGACACACCGACATCAGCTGACACACCGACATCAGCTGACACACCGACTTCAGCTGACACACCGACATCAGCTGATACACCGACATCAGCTGATACACCGACATCAGCTGATACACCGACATCAGCTGACACACCGACTTCAGCTGATACACCGACATCAGCTGATACACCGACCACACCGACATCAGCTGATACACCGACATCAGCTGATACACCGACATCAGCTGACACACCGACTTCAGCTGATACACCGACATCAGCTGATACACCGACATCAGCTGACACACCGACATCAGCTGATACACCGACATCAGCTGACACACCGACTTCAGCTGATACACCGACCGACATCAGCTGACACACAGACCGACATCAGCTGACACACCCACATCAGCTGACACACCCACATCAGCTGAAACACCCACATCATTTGACATACCCACATCAGCTGACTCACCCACATCAGCTGACACACCGACACACCCACATCAGCGTCAGCTGCTTTTAACATTCTGTAGCTTCCGTTTTCCGCTGAAATCGCGACAAGTTGTACAAATCGCGAAAAGTTGATGAAATTGCGACAAGTTGATCAAAATGTTTTAACCCCGACTAGTGTATACTACTCACAACGTTATTACCTTTGTAGTAGTTTCAACAATTTGGTGTTTGTACTTTTTCGTGGTGTTTCTTTTGGAGTTAATTCGTTCTATTTTCGCGCCGACAAAATGGTAACCGTTGTTTATTGCTTGGGGAATATACGTGCACCTGTTGTGTATTTCAGGTGAAGAAGGCGGATCTGGTTTATGTAGTCATTAATCACAGATGCTATGTTCTTGGAGGCACAGACAATATAATGTCTCAATCGTACCGCCACTCCACTACATGTGAGGCCACTCGGTGATGTCATCTGTTTTATTTTCCTCAGGCGATTTATGACGCCTACAGCACACACAGCTTGTGTAATGCTTCCTGGCGTGTTTAGTACAGAAAGGACCTGGCGACCCAAATCAACCTCAGTTGAGTTGAGTTTGGTTTTACGTCACATCGGCATTATTCCAGCCATATAGCGACCATATCAAGTCTGAATTCATACACATTTTGAGTACAAAGTACAGATGCGTTTTATTTTGAAAACATATATATTCATTACATTATTATTTAAAAACAGAAAATGTCGTAGCACCAAATTCAAAAGCAGGCAATTCGTTATTCACAGTACATAGCTACAGTTTATGGTACAGGTCGACTTCCCTCTGGTAGCTAACAATGAGATGGCCGCTGACTCGTGAAAACAGGTGTTTGAGATTTATCGCTTCATAATGCGAGTCCCTTGCAGTCGAAAACTCCACACAGTCAAGCAGTATATGCTTGATGGTGAACACTTCATCGCAAGAGGTCCATCTACATCCGTTTTCAGCAGATAGTCATGAGTAAGCCGACTGTGGCCAATACATCGTGGTAAAATTACCTCATCACCTCTTGACTGACAACACAAGTAGGTATAACCAATTGTTGGCTTCAGTTCATGAAGTTTATTTCTTCCTACTTGGGTGTCCCACCTTTTTTGCATAACTTTTGTTAGTGGGTTTGAAGTCACTGTACGGGATTAGCAGTGGAGATAAGGGCTTGTCAAGAGCTGCTTTAGCTGCAGCATCGGCCTTGGTGTTACCTGCTATGCCGACGTGACCCGGCAACCAGCAGAGGACGATGTCACATTGGCCAGTAGAAAGATTGTTGTAAAGTTCTAGAATGTCCAGGATGATAGGGTGACTTGAAGTAACATTTGGAAGTGCTTGAAGGCAAGATAATGAATCTGTAAAAACTATGAAGTTTTTGGAATGGTTCTGTTGTTTAATATAGGTCAAAGCTGTCCTCCATGAGGTGCTGGATAAACACGCCCCTCTGAAGAAGAAGCTAGTCCCTCAACGTCCTGTGTCATCCTGGCCTGTTACCGCGGACGTCGTGGCTGCCAAGGCTAAACGCCGTAGAGAGCAGAGAGCTTGGAGACGGTCTCGCCTTGAAATCCACAGGCAGATATATTGCGCTGCCAGGAACCAGGTTACCACCGTCATTGCATATGCTAAACATGCATCTCTAAACGGCAAATTCGAGGCATGCATATCTGACCCAAGAGCACTCTACAAACTGAGACCGCCTCCGTGGTGTAGTGGTTAGAGCGTCCGCCTGGAGAGCGGAAGGTCGCGGGTTCGATTCCCGACTGCGTCATACCAAAAAACGATAAAATATGGTACTTGTTGGTTCCTGCCTGGCGCTCGGCATTAATGGGTACAACAAGGACTGGTCGGCTCGGAGTCAGTATAATGTGTCTGAGTTGGGTATTCATGCTTCACTGCGGCGTGGTATCTCAGTGGGCTAGCACTATTAAAAACCAGCTTAAGTCTGGGCTAGTACAAGCAGCCGCACATACACATACACACGCTTGCACGTCGTCATATGAGCGAAATATTCTCAAGTACGACGTTAAACCCACTTTCACCTCACCTCACCTACAAACTGATGTCTAGTCTTTTGGGTAAGGATGCGTCATCCCCGTTCGTCTCAAAGTTGATCGAAAGGGCTGTGGCTGAAAGGGTATCCGAACACCTGTGCAAGCGCAATCTCTTGGACAACTTCCAATCTGCCTATCGCTCCTACCATAGCACAGGGACTGCCTTGATCATGGTCTTGAATGACTGAAGGCTGGGCGTCGATGATAACAAGGTTGGTCTCTTGATGCTGCTAGACCTTAGCTCGGCGTTCGATACCTTGATCATCAGCGACTTATTGACAGACTCAGGAGTGACTTTCAGATTGTGGGAACCGCTCCTAAGTAACTGACAGGTATCAGTCTGTTGTCATAAATGGTCAATATTCACCCAAGATCCAACTCACATGTGGGGTACCCCAAGGGTCGGTCCTCGGACCAGTTCTTTTCTCCCTTTTTGGCAAGGAACTGGGATCCATCATCGATAAGCACCTGCTCGGCCGCCACCAATATGCTGACGTTTGCTCAGGTGTACACATTTTCCCCTCCAGACCCAGTG